ATATCATGATGCTGCCACCACCATGCTTCGTGGAGACGTGTTTTAGCGTGATAAGAGAAGGTGGAGATGTAGTTCTTGATGACAAAACGTGACATTATGGGCTATCCTTGTATTTGTTGTTTCTAAGAAATATTTTAAAGAAATGTCTTCATCTGAACAAAAAAAAACTATTAAAACATTATAGCTATGCTGTAACACTGCCATAAAATGACATTGAGGCCTGGAGCATGCACAAAAAGCTTTCTACTTTCAACAAGAATGGATGGCCTCAGGATTATGTTTTTGGCTATAAAGTGATGTTTCAAGAGATTTAAGATACTCTTTAAAGTTACCCATCAACCTAACATGCATGTTTTTGGTTTGTGGGAGGAAATAACACAGAAAGAACATGTAGGGCCCTATGATTTGCACTAAAAAAAACTCAGACAAAATTGCAGAATTTACCAAACAAAATGGAATTCAGTTTATTCTCACCGAGTTTGCTCATTTGGGTGAGCAGGTAGAGTTTCTGAGGTATTTTGGCTGCTGCCGCTCCCTGTGTCTGCTGTTATCTGGTTACGTTTACACAGAGTGAGCTCACTTTAAACAAGTCAGGGCTCTGACAACACACAAGTCAAAATCAGCTTAGATAAAATTCWATGCACAAATTGTTGCTGTTTGTAGGTTTTATGTTTCTTTATGAGACTTATTCATGTAAAATTCAACAATGAACCTTTTTATTTTACATAAGGATCACTTTTTTAATGTAAGGTTCTGTTTTGCACATAAATGTTTTCGTTCTTTAAAAAAAGACAAGTAAATATTTTTTAAAATGTCTTGCAAAGTGTTTAATGTTCAACTGAAACTCAACTATTTGTTATAAATGGGAAAGTGAAGAATCAGCCATTAATGTTAATAAATACGGTTAGAATGAAAATGTAGAATTCAGGGGAACAAAGAAAAAAATTGAATTTAGAGGAATAAAAACAGAAAAAAAAAACAAATTTGGGAAAAAATAAAATTTATTTTATAGCCAGAAAGATTTTCAGCCAGGATTTGATCCGACAACCTTCTTTCTTGTTGAGAGGCAACATCTCTACCAACTGTGCAGCAC